CATGATGTCATTATGATAAGCATTGGAGATAAAATGGAGATTAAAGCTAAACCCATGTCAATAGGATTTTAAAAAATGAAAGTTGGGTCAGTTTTTTTCCAGGTGGCATGTAGACACAATATTTTTAAATATAAAATCAGGATATCTATATATATAAAAACTTAAGTGACCAGTCAACCAGCTAGTAGCTATAATGCACACTGACCACAAAGGGGCAGACACTCAACAGAGGAGCTGCCTCGCTGCCATTCTCAGGTGACGTACCCAAAACCAGAGAGGAGGGAGACAAATGTTTATTGAGCATATACTCAATAAATATTTGTAGGCTTTTAGGCACTCAGGACCCAGCAATGAACAAAACAAAATCCCTGTTCTTGTGACATTTGTGTTCTAATTATAGACCCATGATGGAGTCAGAAAATAAACCAGAAACATCACAAATAAGCAAATTATGTAATACGATACATGGCAAGAAGTGCTATGGGAAAATAGTAGACTAGACTGAGGGAGCCCAAGAGGGCTGGGGGCGATGGGTGAGGGCAGGCGGCAGTATAAAAGAAAGTTATTGTAAACATGCACGGGATTAAGTAAGGAGAACTATGGCCCACTGAAAATATAAGAAATGTGGAGTTGTAGAGTGTTATCAGAGATATCAAAAACTAACTAACTAAAAATAAAAAATAAAAAATAAAACAGAATCAAATGCTGCTGGATGAGGACAGGATAAAAAATAAAAACTGTAAAGACTGTTAGAGATATATGTGTTACTCAGCTTGAAATGAAGGAGCAGGGGAAGGGAATAGAAGAAGCCGGGGGAAGGTCAGTGGGGGGAAAAAAGAGAGAAAGACATATGTACCACTATTTGTAATACCTTAAACAATAAAATAAAAACTAACTAACTAACTAAATAAATAAATAAAACCAAACTGCAAAAAAAGAAAGAAAAGAAAAAGAAAAAGAAAAAGAAAAAGAAAGGTCTGGGAGACACCATGACTTTGCAATGGTTCCTTAACTGTAACATGAGAAGTGCAGGTTACCCATGAGAGGGAACTGCCTGGTAATGAGAACTCTTGTGTGTTAACATGTGATATATGGAGAGATTAAAGGAATGATGTCTTTGGAACAACTTAAACTTGATGAATTTAATCTTCTAAACCCACATGCAATGCACTACTTAATAAATATCTGCTTTTACAATTCTTAATAATGATTATAGTTCCGGAATTATTTGTATGCTCTTTCAGTTACTTAATAGACAAATGTTGCCCTATTACTAGAGAAATGGAGTAGGCCTTAAAAGTCCCTTCAATTTGTATGGTTCCATCATGTCTTCCTTAATGGTAAAAATTTCTATTAAGAACTATGAACACTCAAAAGGCATTTCCTTATAACTAACACATCATCACGGGGGATGGACATATACATCCTCCCTGTCTCTCCCCCTTCCCTCATGCGCCCTCTCTCCCTCCCCCGCACCCTGTCATACTTTCAGACGCTTTGGGACTTCCAACACAGGAATTGAGGTTTTTGTTTTCATTTCCTCTTTCTCTGATTTACCATAAGGGGATTAGATCACTGGGCCAATTCTTCCAAATAGTTTCTTGGAATAAATTAATGACATCATGTATATCGAGTCTATAGCAACTGCAGTAGGAGCCGAGGCATCTAAACCCATTGAGGATTTCAGGTGATTCTTTTTGGTGGAGGGGTGAACAATTTGTTACAACCCCTAGAGCAGATTGTTGTAAGGCTGTGTCCCGTTTGGAAATGACCTCATCTAATATGTCTGTTGGCGGTTAGCAGTTTTCTGCCAAACAGGACTGTTAGGATACGGCATTATTATCAGAGAGCCCTCAAACTCCACGCCACAGGATTCCTCCCTGCCCATAATGCAGGGTTCATGAGTGAGACGTGCTTGTCAAGGCTCTTAAACTCTAAGCCTAATCCATACGGGGACTTGTCACAAGTCATCTGATTTCTTCTCTTTGTGCATTCTTTTGGTCCTGGGATTGTTCTATTAGATGGACTGCTGTGTGTAGAATGATGAATTAGAAAGTCCTATTTTTCCTCCTTCGTCATGGATTTTGAGTAGAAAAGCATGTCTGAAAAGACCCGCTTTGTGCCGAAACTGGTTTGGCTCAGTGGATAGAGCGTCAGCTTGGGGACTGAAGGGTCCCGGGTTCGATTCCGGTCAAGGGCACGTACCTTGGTTGCGGGCATATCCCCAGTAGGGGGTGTGCAAGAGGCAGCTGATCGATGACTCTCTCATCAATGTTTCTAGCTCTCTATCTCTCTCCCTTCCTCTCTGTACAAAATCAATAAAATGTATTTAAAAAAATAAAAAATAAAAAAAAAGAAATACAAGCTTGAAAATACAAGCTTAAAAAAAAAAAAAAAAGACCTGCTTTGTAATGATTCTGTTTGAATACGGTTCAAGTGTCTAGAGGCATGCCTGCTTTGATGGCCTCCTTCTGCTGTCCCCATACCAACAATCTACGTAACTCTTAAGCCAGAGCATTTAGAGCTGTGCTTCCCATACGGTGGCCTCGAGCTACACGTGGCTACTGGTTACTCGCAATGTGCCTCGTTCGAAATGAAGAATGCCATCGTGTAAAATACACACAAGATTTCTAAAACCCAGTTCTAAAAAAGATTGTAAGATATTTTAATTTTATAGTGCTTGCATATTTGGGATATACTGATATAAATAGAACATATTATTAAAATCAATCTTAACCGTTTTTCTTAAATTTCTGATGTAGTGACTATACCATTTAAGCCACATATACCCTTCATATGCGGCTTTTATTCCATTTCTATGGGCCAGCACTCCCAGCTTCCTTCCGTTATCCTGGAAGAGGCCTTTGAGACCAGTATTGATTACTGTCTGCAGCCCAGGGGGGAGATTTGTGTCTGTGTGGGTATGTGTCTGTGTTGGGGGCGGGAGTGGAGACCGGAGAATGTTCAGAGGGAAAAAGAAGGAGCAAAGGAAAGGAAGAGAAGTGAGCCGTTTCGATCCATTTCCGTCTGAGATGCCATCCACTCTCACTTAAAGGAGGAGGAGGAGCTGGGCCACGTTAGTTCCCCTCAGGGCAGCTTCACTCTGTGTTTTGGAATAGAGTGAATCACGGAAACATCAGCCTCATCTGAACTCAAATGTAAACACAGGCAAAGCCCCCGTAACTTCAGCTCAGCACACGTCACGTTTTGAGAACCATGGTCTGTCACTGCTTTCCTTATTAACAAAGATCACCGAGACCTGGTCTGTAATCCAAACTGATCATTCTGATGTGGACAAAGGGTGTGTAATGTGTTCTGTGCTGCAACCTTTCATAAGAGAGACATTTCTGGCTGAGATGGAACATTTTCATGGCTTTAGTGTGTGTAGACTCGAGTAAACACCTGAAATAATGTGGGATTTTTTTTTTTTTTTTGAGAACTGGAAGATTTTGTAAATCACTGTGCTTTTGTGAAATGTTAAATTAAGAGCTAGCAGGCAGGTTCAACTTGTTCAAGAGGGGAAAAAAAGGGGGAGGGGGTATTGTAGAGATTAAGCCCAGGTGACCCTCTAAGTTATGATTTAGTGTTTAATCTGAGACAAATCAGTTTCACTACACTCTTGTCATAGACCATGAAACAGCAAATTTGAATCATTCCCCTGTTTTATTAGCTTAATTAATGAAATAGTTCGTGTGGCGAGCCTGGTGGAAATAACCATGAATCGAACTGTCATCCAGGTTAATGGAAAGGAAAAAGGGAGGACAAAGAGGCTCGGATCTGATGGAAATAGAATGAAAGCCACATATGGAATTCATTGTTTTCCAGTGTCCACTTTGATTTCTTTCCGCAGCCCAGAGAAAGATGCATATGTGAGTGAGAAAGTTTCGCAGAGAGAAAAGGGTAAGGTGGTCCTACAGCTGGAACTTTATGGCCCCATGTTGATAAACTAACTGTGCTCATAGCTTATAGAATTACATCATCTTCTAGCTGGAAAAGGAGACCTGACCATCCGTCTCTCGTTTCAAATGAAATCAATCAGGGCCAGAGACACAAAGCAGCTCACCGCCTGCCTTTGCTCCGTCTTCATGGCCGGCAGTGGATCGTGAGACTGTGTTCAAGGACATTTGTGACAATCCCAGAAGCGCTCCAAGGGGTAAGGGTATTTATTGTTCCCTGCGTTCCTGGGAAGAAGACACTCGCAGGAGGCAGCGGAGACCTATTCTGAGGAAACCACCTTCACTTGTATCCTGAAGGAGAAGAAAAATGAATGACCTCTTCAGTTGAAATTACCCTGGAAACAGCTCGGTGACTGAGTGAGGAGCCAGGCTGGAGCTCCCCCCGTCCTGGGGGGGGTGGGGTGCGCTTTGCTCCCAGATGCTGTTCCACTCACGTCTGTGCATTTACCGGTGAACACCTCCGTGGGGACCCTGGAGGAGGCCACGTCTGGCAGCCGCCGTGCTCGGGGACCACCCTGAGGCTCCAGCAGCCTCGCTGCTCCAGGACCGTTTTGACTCCGGAAAGGCTATTGCTCATGAGGAGATTGATTTTGAAAAATCAAGTCATTTTAGATCAGCATAGATCTCCCTAAGGATAATAGTATAACATTTCCTAAAGTTTGAGCCACAGATGCAAAAATCTCACTTTTCCTTTCTCATGCATTCCCTTTCCATCGTTGCTCAGAAAGGTGAATATCTGACATTGCCAAATCAGGATGTACGCGCAATTTTTATAATCTGGTGTCTGCAACGAAAATGCTCTCCAGCCCTGACCAGTGGCTCAGTTGGCTGGAGCATTGTTCTGTACCCCAAAGGTTTCAGGTTCCATTCCCAGTCAGTGCGCATACCTAGGTTGTGGGTTTGGTCCCCAATCAGGGCCTAGACGTGAGGTAACCGACTCATGTTTCTCTCTCACATCAATGTTTCTCTCTCTCTCTCTCTCTCTCTCTCTCTCTCCCTCTAAATAAATAAATAAATAAATAAATAAATAAATCTAATAAAACCTATCCTGGGGTGGGGATTAAAAAAAAAAAAAAAAAAATCTCCACACTACTTTTCCATGATGAGTCTAAGTCATCATAATTGTTATCTTAGTGACTGGGTAGTAATCCCATCATGATTTACTTAAATATGTTATTAAACAAGATGTTTCTTGCACTTCACTGAAAATAACGGTGACTGCTTATCAGTTCACAACAAATTTGCATATTAGCTTTAGGCGTAAAGCCACGTTCAGTGGACCCCTGAGGGAGACAACGTATGCTGATGCGGAATCATGGGTCCTCCACCACCCGTGTCTTTTGGCTTAAAGCAATTATGCAAAGCTGGTACACACTGCGGGCCCAGCCAATCCAGAAACTAAAGGAACGCTGTTGGCAGGCAGCGCGGCCGTGTCTGTAATGGATCAGGAATGCAGACACTGTTTTTATTGGTACATGACTGATCAAGTTCTGTTTTTTTTTTAAATGACCTGGCCCCTAAGAACCCGAGGACTAAGTTGTGTACTGCCCTCTGCCCCTGAGGAGGGGACCATGAAACTAACCAGTGTCATCTGCCCCAGCAGAACAAGGTCATGAGTTTCCACCCTCTTTGGAAGGGAATGGAGCACAGGTCAACTTAATTTTCAGGTCTTTGGTGAAAAGGTTACAAAATAAGGAAAGCAAGACAGTTTGATGAAAGTAGTTACAACTTCTGCTGTAGTTGGAAGTTTTAAGGAAGGTTAGGTCCTTTTTGAAATTGAATCTGTGTGAGGCCAGAAATGTATTTTATCCTATTATTTTCACTCTCATTTGATGACCCAGGAAGATGCGTTATATATTTACCTCTATGTGACACTGGGCAATGACTTAAATGTCTTTGATTTTTAGGGCTGTTGTTTCCATTTTCTACCTGGGAATGATTACTTCTGGCTTCCCCGTCTCATGAGATTGCCGTGAGAATCCAGTGGGAAATAAACTGTAAAATCTTCTCACAAATGCAAGGTGGATGCTACTCTTAGTCACTGGTAATGACGACGGGCGGAAAGTCCCCCGATAGCAGCATCAGATAGTGCGATGCCCTGTGGGTGTGTCAGACTAGGGTATGAGGATGCCAGTTAACAGCAGTGATTTGTTCTGCCATGTAGACCTGGCCTAGTCATTCCACTGTCTGCCTTTACTTGTGAAAAGCGTGTTCCCATAGGTGCGGATAAGACTAGGCTAGGTACCTAAACCGGTTTGGCTCAGTGGCTAGAGCGTTGGCCTGGGGACTGAAAGGTCCTGGGTTCGATTCCAGTCAAGGGCATGTACCTTGGTTGCGGGCACATCCCCATGCAAGAGGCAGCTGATCGATGTTTCTCTCTCATCAATGTTTCTAACTCTCTCTCCCTCTCTCTCCCTCTCTGTAAAAAAAATCAATAAAATATATTAAAAAAACAAAAACAAAAACAAACTAGGCTAGGTGTTCTGAGCTCACAAGATGAAGGTCCCTCATAGATCTGTCAGAGGGGAAAAATTCCCTAATATTTTTGTCCTCCAGTAACTAACTATACCAAGACCCGCGAGAAAGTGTCATCCAAAATAAAGGGCATCTCTGTGGCTAGAGGGGCATCTCTCTATTTATTTGAAAACCCAAGCTGGCTTCTGACTGTGTCCAGGCTTTGTGGTAAATGTTTGCCTGCAGGGAGTCAGCCACACAACTCCCCACAATGCCAGCGGGAGGCACATGACCCAGTTTCTGCGGTCTGAGCTGACACAGCGCCTGCGTGTGTGCAGGCCCACCGCTGCCTGTACAATTACATAGTGAGCGCTTTTTCAAATTCACGTTTTTAAAGAGGAGATTAGATCGTTTTCATTTGTTTTGCTTAGGCTTTATGGTCTAATTTATCTCCCCCCACCCGCTTTGAGGTCATTTCAAGCACCATCTCCACAAATAGCTATCAGGGGATTGAGGTTGGTCTTCGAATACAAATCTCACCCGTATAAAGCCATCTATTTGACGTGGGGTGATAGGAAATGATTGGTCCTGTCCTTATTCTCTCGGTCTGACTCTGCCAAGTACACAGGGAGACACACGAACACTTCCTGGATAATGGAGGGGAGGCATATTTGACCAACACAGCTTCATGGTGTTTGGAAGGAAGCAAGTATTCACTCATCCCTTCTCTGAAGTCTGAGAACACCATCCTTCCTTTGGGAAGAGATGGGAGCATGGGTCATTGTCATTTTTGAAAGGCTGGGGGGGAAAAAGAAGGCTGCCACAGAGAAGTACAGTCCACATGTCCTCTGAGTACCCAGAAAGGGAAGGTGAGACCCACCAGGGTTACCTCAGAGGCGTTAGGTCCGGACAATGACGATTGCGTCTGGAGTGAGTGGGGGGCTCCCTTCCGTGGGCAGAGTTCTGCTTGTTTGGAATAACGTCCTTAGGAACCTGCCCGAGGTGCTGTCTCCTCATCCACGTGCCTCTGGGTAGAGCGTCATCATGGTACTATTTTCATACGCCACTTGGAGTAAACACGAGGGTTCGTTCGTGCTAAGTGGGTGAGCAGTCAGAGGGGACATCTCTGAACCTGATAGTGAGGGGATGAGGTCATTAACACCCCAAGCACTCAAGGGCCATGGCCTTCTGTTGTATCTTTTTTACGTATTCTTTTTTCTTCTTAAAATGTGGTCTGTAAACCACCTGCAACCGAATCACCTAAGGGGATGGTTTAAATGTAGATTCCATGGTCCAGTCCTAGACCTGCTGAATCGGAATGTTTGGGGCGAGGTCATGAATCACAGTTTTAAGAAGCACCGCCATTCTGATAAGCATTTCCTCTCCCCCTTCAGAAGGGGAGAAGGGTGGACTTTTGACATCCTATTAGAGCCCTTTTCACTCAATATTGAGTCAAAATCTGCCACACTCTATTTTGTTTGTTTTTCTTTTTCACCATTATTTATAATGATAACTAACATTTTTTTTCTTATTTCTCCCCTGTATTTTTATTTTTAATTTTTTTTCATTTTCATTGCCCCCCCTTGTATTTTTATTTTTTTAATTAAAAAAATGTTCAGTTACAGTTGACATTCAATATTATATTAGTTTCAGTTATATAGCACAATGATTAGATATTTATATAACTTATGAAGTTATTCCCCCCAATGAGTCTAGCTGATACCCATCTAACACTAAACATAGTTATTACAATATTACTGACTATATTCCCTGTGCTGCTCTTTACATCCCTGTGACTATTTTGTAGCTTGTACTTCTTAATCTTTCCTCCTTTTTCAAGCAATCCTGACTCTAGTATCTGAATATTCAAGGAGCAAATCCAGTCCTCTTTTACATTGCACACCTTCCCACCCGTGAAGATCTCTTCCTCCAGGCTGTGAGATTCCTCATTCCCTTGATTTTCTTCCAAAGTACTCTGCCTTCTTTTTTCTTTATTTACATTTTTTTGTTGCCAAACGGGTTTGGCTCAGCTGTAGAGCGTCTTCGATCTGCAGACTAAAGGGTCCTGGGTTCAATTCTGGTCAAGGGCATGTACCTTGGTTGCGGGCACATCCCCGGTGGGGGGTGTGCAGGAGGCAGCTGGTCGATGTATCTCTCTCATCGACATTTCTAGCTCTCTATCTCTCTCCCTTCCTCTCTGTGGAAAATCAATAAAATATATTTAAAATAAAAATAAAAATAAATAAATAGAAAACCACAGGTACCGAATGGCATACCTCTTTCTTTAAAAAAAAAAAAAAAAAAAAAAAGTTGTAAAATATTCTGCTGCTTAGCATGAGAAGAAATGATAAGCTCAGAGGAGCGTATCTCAGAATCCATCTACGCCTGTCCCTGTCCTTGTTGTGTACACTCCCTTTCCCATGGCTCATCCTCACCTGCTTTGTGTACAACTGTATCTCGCCACTGACTCACACTGAACTCACAGTTCAGTGAAACCCCGGAGTCATCTGTTTGTCTGTTTATTACATTTTCCAAGCAATTGAAAATGATTAAGGGCAGTGCCCTAGAGATTTTCCTTCAGGATAGCAGTAACCTCAACCTTTAACTAGCACCTACCATTTAGGTTGTTTAACCCTCTGATTTTGCTTAAATCCGTTTTCAACCACTCTAATTTTTTTTTTCCAGCATGTCAATCAAAATCATGCAAGACTTTAATAACTGCTCTGCTAAAATCTAGATACCTCCAACAGCCTTCTATTCTATCAATCTGGTGTATCTACCTAGAGGACATGAGGCTAGTTCTAATAAATACCATTTCCTTTTCTCTGTTGATAAACAGTCTTTGACTGTTTCTGGAAAGTCAAGAATTCATGAGGTGCACGGTCTTAGTTGGCTGGGTGTGCAGCATTTTCCTGTGTGGTTGAAAATTTCTATCAAAGCAATATGTTCGCTAGAAACCTCCATGTCCTTGTGACGTCTTTTCTATTCTCTGCATTGTTTCTTAGTATTTTCACCTAGAGCAACACCATTATAATCCATCCTAGGGTCCCTATATCTCCAGGAGGTATATGTTTGTTTATTTGTTTCTTGGTTTATGCCCTTTCTCTTTGTGGTAGGTCTGTGTCCACTAACACAGATATGATTTGGTCAAAAGATGAAGACTTTAGTAATTCACAAAATGCAATTCAGGGACTTCTAAGTAATCCTGGGCCTTGTTCTCATAAGGGTTATCATTTATAAATGGCAATAAATATTTGCTTAGGGGGGCCATGAATAAATAAGATTTTTAACAAAAACCAGAACTTGTATTACCATTTCATTAAAATGGATACCACCCATTTTTAATTCCAGCGAGGGAGTTTTGTTTTGTTTTATTTTTAATAATGTCATGTCACAATCCATCTGGCCTTCAATCTACTCACTTATGAAGGAGTAGTTTGCACTGGATGCTTCCTATGGTATACTCAGATTCTAGAATTATATGATTCTAAGTTTTAAGAAGGAAATGAAAGTCAAAATAATTTAAAAACCAACACACACACACACACACACACACACACACGCCTGTGCTTGCATGAATACCATGAAATCTGAAGAAGGTGGTTAGATTGCAACCATGTCAGTTTCTTGGTTGTGCTATTATACTGTAGTTTTGTAAGATATTCCCACTAGGTGAAACTGGGTGAAAGCACCAGAATATCTGTATTATTTCTTACAAAAACACGTGAATCTGCAGTTTTCTCAAAAAGTTTAAAAATAATTAAACCATAGAGTGTTATAAAAGGACTTTGGAAGTAAGTAGGCCTTACTTGATCCTCACACTAGCTTAGACAAGTTATTTAACCTTTCTGAAACTTGGCTGCTTTGTCAGCCTTAAAGTGGAAATAATAATTCCTACCCAATGGATTGTGGGAAGTATTCTACGAGACAGAGTGTGTGTGTGTGTGTGTGTGTGTGTGTGTGTGTGTGTGTGTGTAAGCATCTTCTCGTTCGGCTCATTCTCCATGATCCTCTTCCATAAATGTTAGTTCCTCTCCCCTGTGCTTCTTATCCTTTGTTTTAGGGAAGAAACTAGGACAGTCAGCCTTGCTGTAGCTCTCCTAAAGACACATGGCCTGAAGCGAAAGGTAGTTCAGAAGCTACATTAGTGAGATGAACCCCATAGCAGGGCAGTGAGTAACGCCGTTACATAACTTCTGCAGATCACCAGGCAGATCAGCGAACGTGGTTTGGCGTGGCTGACCGCTAAAATAACAAGGCAGCTTCCAGCCCCAGCTTGAGTGGGGAGTCCTGACAAAGCAGCCAGTCAGAACCAGGGATGAATCCATGGCCCCGGGAGCGCTGGTGTTTCATCTGACTCAGGCATGTTGTAAATCTGCTTCAGTGGAAAAAACAAAAGCGATTTCTCTCTGGCCGGTCCCCTACATAACTGTCCCCGTGGGGCCCAGAGCAGCTTTCCTTCCCTCAAAAAATCCTTCATCATGTCTCCCGAATATGAGTTTTCCAGGCAGCTGCACAGATGAGAAGCAGGGAGAGACGAGGGAAAGGTGAAGGAGAACAGACGTGTGCTGAGGATGTGACTGTTGAGTGAAGGGCTAAGATGTGTCTTCCACATGTTTCCTAAAACGTTTAGACTTTCCCAGGACTCTGTCCTTTCCCTGATGAATGTTTGTTTTTCTATATTTTATTGATTTTTTTTACAGTGAGGAAGAGAGAGGGATAGAGAGTCAGAAACATCGATGAGAGAGAATCATCGATCAGCTGCCTCCTGCACACCCCCCACTGGGCAACTAAGGTACATGCCCCTGACAGGAACCTTTCAGTCTGCAGGCTGAAGTTTATTCACTAAGCCAAACTGGTTTCTGCCTGATGAATGTTTTTATCACTGAGATGGTGAGGAACACAGAAGGCAACCCTACCAATTTTTTATTTATTTATTTATTTTTATTTTTTTTTATTTTTTTGTTATGATACCAAGGTAAAAGGGAGTTTGGGGACAGAATTACAATTTTAAAATTATTTTGGCAGGTTCTGAGCTGACCACAGCAATCTGTAATTTAATAGAGTGATGTTAAAACCTGTACTTCAGAATCAAAAGCAACATATAGGTTAGGGAAGGTTTAGATTGAGAAGGTTGTTGTTTTTTTTTTTAAATGAAAAAAAAAGATATAAGGATTTTATTTGACTATAGAAAGGTATGATTCAACAGTACGATATGGTTGTAAAAAAGAGGTTAGGGACCTGAAAAAAGAGAATCTTTCTACCTTACATAATTTGCATTAGCAAGACAATACTTGGTGTGCTGTATTCATGGTGGGGCCAAATTTAAGAAAGATATTGATAAGTTGGAATTGGTCACGAAGGGAAAGAAGGAAAAAGAAGGATCAAATCCAAAAAAATCCAAAAACTGCATTTTTTAAAGAATGGTTGAAGGAAAATAAGGCTATTTAGCTGACTTTTACAGTTACCATATGGAAGAGGAATAAACATCTATTTTGCTCTGAAAGACAGAAATGAGATTAATGAGAGAGAGAGAGAGTTCATGGAAACAGATTTTGGCTCAGTAGAAGGGAAACTTTTCAAATAATTAGAGCAGTTCAGTGAAAAAGGACTATTTCATTTAAATTGTGAGCTTCCTGTCACTGGAAATATTCAAGCGAAGGCCGGATGAGTGTCCGTCTGGGATTCTGAAGGCTCCCAGCTTGAACGAGAGCTTGGGGTAGGTGACCTTTAAGATCGCTTCTAACTCCCAGGGCCTACAATTTAAGTAAGTGTGAATGCCAAGGTCACTGATGACATGCCAGAGCCACGTTTTCAGCTCTTGGCTCTGATTCTGACCAGCTGTGTGACCTTCTGCTGAGAACCAAACCATTTCTTCTTCCAGTTTCCTCATCCATAACATGAGGGAGCTGGGTGGAACGATGTCTGGGTTCTCCCTGGCACTTCTGTCCCCTGAAGCATCCTCCTAATCACAGTGCGTTGGGGAAGTGGAGTTGGAGCTGATACCTGCCATTTGATGAAGTCCATTTGCAGGGAGAAGGCTTTCCAAGATCAAAACCATGGTTGACCTTGGAACTGACGTCTCAATTGCCAGCAGAGCGGGCGATTGTGATCCTAGAATTTGTTCCCGTGAGACCTGTGGCAGGAAGTCGATCAAATAACTGGTAATCTTGTTCCTCTCTAGCACCTGTGCTTTCTGGCCGAGGTCAGCAACGCCTTTGCAAACAACTTGAGAGAAATGGAGATCGTATTACCGTCACAAATGTAGTTCTATTTCACAAAGCTAACCTTTGTTCTTTATTTCCTCTGTGATCTGGCTGTCGCTATTGAGCTTTGTTTAGAATCCTAAGAGCCAGTATCCATAAAGCAACTCGCCACATGGCAGAGACTGTTCTTAAAGTTTTATATAAATTAATTTAGTTGGTTGATAAGCTGAAAATCTAATGGCAAAGCGGTAGATGGGATCCTTTCCCCTGTGGTAAAGGAGTAGCTAAGGTCCATTCAAGTCTGTCTTCATGGTAAAGAGTCCAGAATTCAGATCCTCACCCTCATTCTTTTAAGCTTCAGTGCTGATGTTCAATGACTATAATTTCCTCTGTGATCCATTTGATTAACAATACTTCCCTTCTCTGACTATAGTAAGGTGTCCTAGCCTCCACTGCTGCCACATTCTAGCTCTTCCATCTGTTCTTTGGCTATTCTCTGACTCACACATTATTGTCTCAAATCCCATTTTTTCAGTTATTCTCTTCTCCCCCCCCCCCCCAAAAAAAAAAAAGATCTTTAAAAACTGAGTGTCATCATTTGCTCTGACATAGATATAAAATGTCTGGACAGGCCCTGGACAGGTAGCGGACTTGGTTAGAGTGTCATCCCACCAAGGTTGTGGGTTCAATCCTTAGTCAGGACACATACAGGAGGCAACTAACCAATGAATGCATAAATGAGAGAAACAACAAATATATATATATCTTTCTCGCTCAAATCAATAAATTAAAAAAAACTTTTTAAGTATGGACAGGATTTCAAATACCTCCTCCTCTTACTGAGATCAGCAGGGGAAGAAATAAATAAATTTATGTTTTTTGTAAGGACGGAAGAATTTAAAACTCCATTCCCAGGCTCTTGGGTCTGGCAATACTCACTCCATCCAAGCACCACATTTTGTTCCATCTTTTTGTTTCCTTAGGTTGGAAATGAAAACAGCTGTTAGAAATAAGAGCACATGAGTCAATCTTGAATCTCAATGTGATAATTACAGTTTCCATCTCAGTTGGTTGAGCCCCTCCCAGTGTACTGAGCCCACATCACAGCCCCCTTGCTGTCAGTTTTATACCAAGACCTTAATTGTTGTTTTCCAAGCCTTTAAGATTAAACACTAAATCGATTGCCAAACCAGAAAAAATAACAAGGAAGAAAATACTTCAATTTAAAAACTTGATCCTTAGGACATGGCTTTTTTTTTTCTTTCTATGATTTAGATTTTGACCAAAATCTCTATGTTGATATTATTGAATAGAAATGTTAGTTATTGATTCACATTTTTTGAAGTGGAGCTTTTTTTCTTCTTGGTACCCTCACTATGAAGAATTTTTCTTGGGATTTTTCTTTTCCCTCCCTCCCTTCCTTCCTTCCTTCCTCCCTCCCTTCTTTCCTTCCTTCCTTCCTTTCTCTCTTGCTTTCTCTCTTCCTCTCTTTCTTTCTCTCTTCCTCTCTTTCTTTCTCTCATCCTCACCCAAGGATATGTTGTTGGCTTTTTATTGATTTTAAAATGAGGGAGGGAGGGAGGGAGGGAGGGAGGGAGGGAGAGAGAGAGAGAGAGAGAGAGAGAGAGAGAGAGAGAGAGAGAGAGAGAGAAACGTGGATCAGGATGATGCTCTAACCAACTGAACCACCCCGCCACGGCCTGCTTGGACTCTTTATAGAGGCGATGCCTTGAATTTTATTTTCTCTTTCCCACATTCCTGAGGCTTAGAACCTAAAAAGCCAATCTCAAAAGAGACATCCACAACCTATTAATTGATTGTCACCTTTCAGAGCAGAGGGTCCTCTTTTAGTTCTGTTCAGTCCCTGTATCAGGCACTCAGTCCTTGACTGCCTAAGGCTCAGAAAGTCCCCCATGAATCAGCTGACCAATTTAGGATTGCCCTGCAAATGGAGAACACATTGTGACCTACACAGAGGGAAGCAGGAGGCAAGAAAGTAGGCCCATTTGAATTGCTTCACTTTGCCCACTTTATTTCTCCTTCTACAATTTGATTTCTTTGTTGTGAGATGATATTGTTTTTATAATTCATGTTCCTGCTAAGATATTTATAATTCTGTTATCATTGTGGACAAGAGCTGGCTTTATGTGTTAAAAATTGTTTTGGACAGTTTGGAGTGCTATAACAAAAATACCATAGTCTTGGAAGTCCAAGATAAGGTGTTGAGGTAGGTAGTGTACAGACAGCAGGTGCCTAGATGCCTGAGACAGGGAAGCAATGAGTGAGAGAGGGAGAGGGAGAGGGAGAGGGAGAGGGAGAGGGAGAGGGAGAGGGAGAGGGAGAGGGAGAGAGAGAGAGAGAGAGAGAGAGAGAGAGAGAGAGAGAGAGAGAGAGAGAGAGAGAGATCCGCTTCTAGTTCTAACCAGTACGCTCAGTAATTGATAGAATTAATCAGCTAGTCTGCTGAGCAAGTAATGTGATCTGCACCTGCAAATGAACTCTGAATTCAGTGCTTGCTTAATTTTTCTGTGTCCCATAATTCTGCTCCTTATCATATTCAGGTAGTGCTGGGTTTCTGAGCCATTGCGCTTGAAGAACCACGGACAGATGTGAGATATTTTTCTTTGCTAAAGGCTCTTACCTCTTTCTCTTAGATTACATGAAGCAGACCACGTTCGAAGCCCAAGCCTTTTTGGAAGCCGTGCAGTTCTTCCGGCAGGAGAAAGGTCACTACGGCTGCTGGGAAATGATGGCCGGGGATGAAATCCAGGTAACACGGAGCCCAGGGTTTGGGATCTGGTTCTCTGTCTGGGAGGCGGGAGGCCAGGATCGTAATGAACAGTCAAACGAAGAACATTGTAAGAATGGGAAGGTGTGGAACCAAAGATCATTTCTCTCATTGTCTAGAAGCTTTGGGTCCGCACCCACTCCAAAGGCCAACAGACCAGACATGAGCTGGGGCAGCCCCAAACTGCAAGGGCAATGGGAAGAACTGCTTCTACTTTTTTTCTATAAAATGATTATCCTTTTAAAAATATATATTTTTTTTATTGATTTTTTACAGAGAGGAAGGGAGAGGGATAGAGAGTTAGAACATCAATGAGAGAGAAACATTCATCAGCTGCCTCCTGCACACCCCCTACTGGGGATGAGCCCACAACCAAGGTACCTGCCCTTGACGGGAATCAAACTTGGGACCCTTCAGTCCACAGGCCGGCACTAAAATGATTATTCTTTCAGATGACCTGCTTCCAGAGTCGAAGCAAATGTGAACAGCTTGGTTGGGTGCAAAGTGTGTGGTGGGGATTTCGGGCAGCAGACTTAGGTTAGTTAAATCTTGCCAAGTTCTTTAACCTCTTTCCGTCTCAGGTGTCTCTTCTGAAAGAAAGATAATGTTTGCCTTCTGGGGCTGTAAGAATTAAATGAGATGCTTCGGGAAAGTATTTGGCACACAGTTATCTTTATCTTTTAAATAACTTATAAATGAAGTAATTAAAGGAGACACACTGTAAAAGCATGGGACAGTTTTTCTGTATGTTTCTAGCTTGCCATTCTCGGTGGTCCAGTATAATTTTCCATGACTTTAATGAAATGCCAGTCATGGGCTAAGCACCATGACTTGGTCCCTGGGGCTTTGTTACAAATCTCCAAGGCAACCATGCTTCATGATGGGAGCCCATCCTCCAGGAGGATGCCAATCACAGGGCTGATTCAGCAGGAAGAGGAGGCTGGGCATGGGCCTCATTTAATGAGAGGCACACAGAGTCCAGGAGTGGTTTTCTTTCATTTCCCCTCATCTCCCAGAGGTGCCTCTTTTGGGAGCCAGTAAAATTTGTTATTAGGCAGCAATATTTGGGAAGATGCCAGATGGTGCCCTGCCTTTGTATAGTCATGAAACATCCAAAGCTGGAAACTCTTTCACATGAAGATGGAACTGTTATTGTTGTTTTACCATGTTACTCCATGTCTTCTCTTCTTCCTTCTTCTTTTTCTGGTGGATTCTAAATTATATAGACTTCAGAGAGGAAGGGAGAGATAGAAACATAAATGATGAAAGAGAATCATTGATCAGCTGCCTCCTGTATGCCCCTACTGAGGATTGAGCCCACAACCAGGGCATGTGCCCTGACTGGGAATTAAACCTCCTGGTAACCTCCTGGTTCCTAAGTCAATGCTCAACTATTGAGCCACACTGGCTGGGCTACATTTTTTATTCCTCACCCTGAGATTATTCAGAACTTTCACCGATTCTTGGTTTCTGACATTTTAGGGAAGCACATCCTTTATAGATCTGAGAGGATTTAGAACCAACCATATGTATACCAAAAAAGAAAACAAAAGCACAAGGGAGGCTGAGGTATTTGACCCTGATTGGTCTGTCATACGAACAACCATATTGAATAGATGCACCAATGGTAAAGTGCCCCTGTGCAATCCTTTTTTATGTCACATCCCAATTCTATCTGTTCATCTTAACCAATCTCATGAGGTGGGAAGAGCAGCTACTATTATTTCCATTTTGTAAATGAGGACATTGAGGGAGGCCTACAGCAATTAAGTGACTTGCCCAGTTTTACTCATTCAACAACTGTGGAGCTACCATGTGCCCGGTGCTCTGCTGGGTGCAGCGATCCAGAGATGGGCAAAGCAGAATGGGTCCCTTGTCCTGTGGAGCTGATGGATTCGGGGTCCCCTGCTTAGGGGACCATGGCCAAGGAAATGGCAGCTTCCGACTCCTAAGCCAGCGCAAGATCAGCCCCAGCCGTGGGAATAGACTAACTCACACCATTACTGAGCTCCTTGCTTCAGGCTGTGCCCACTTGCTTCCTTTTTTTTCCTTTCATCTGCAATTTCACGTCCGTTCTCCTTCCTTCCTTATGCCCCTGAGAGCAGGCACGTCTTAAGTCCTTCCTGTGGGTTGCAGATTGAGTCTGTTGTGTCTGCTTCTGTTGACTTCCAGCTTTGTGCTTTGCGATATGTGCAAAGTGCTCTAGGGCGTGAGGGAGCTAAATGACTCATCCCCTGCCCTCTCTGGGAGGCAGGACCTATCTGGAAACATCTAGAGAGCAAGGCGGCCTTAGCAGTGTGGGTGGGTACTCGTGTGGGGCTGTACATATATGGGCATCTAAAAGCACCCGCAGAGAGCAGTCATAGGAAGGTGCTAGCGTGGAAGCATAGAAATACCCTACGTGGAAAAACCAAACCAACGAGAAAACCCGAGAAGAGGTCAGTAAAAGCTGGAGTTATCGGGTGACCCAACAAGTCTTGCTTCCCCCCAAGAATCTGAGCATCTGGGGTGAGGTCATAGACTCGTAAAACATGATTGTTGGAGGGGGATTTCCAGATCGTTTGTCCCGAACCCTCCAGGAGAGAGAAAGAACCTCCAGAGATGATAGTTGGCGGAAGCCACAAAGCCACCCTGTGACAGGAATGCCTTTTGAGCCATGTCAGGCTATCCCCGGAGAAGCTGATGAGGGGTAATGGCTTCCAGAACTTTCCTAGGCGGGGCCTGCTGAGGGTAAGCTGCACTGTAAGCTCTTCTACCCGGAGCTGCAGCAATGTCTGTCCTCAGACACACAGAAAAAAAGAGGTCGGGGGCCCGAAGCAGCTGCCCAGCTGTTGAAGGATGTGGTGTGGCATTCTGGGCTGGAGAATATGACATCTTTTGTTTAAAGCACTGGGCTTATTGGCATCACTTCCACTAAGAACTTAATCATAAAATTGTTCTAACCCCCTTGGCCCTGGGGGCCCGTATTCGTATTTCCATCGTTGTTACACTGTTATCTTCACAGCCATGACTCACACAACAAGTTTGGCAGGTCCTCGAGGCCATGGCTGTTTTAGGCAAGTGTCCAGGCAAAGCAGATCTCTCAGAATAACTTGCCTGACAGACTGTGAACGCAGAATATTAATATTGACAAAAAATACAAGAGTCTCCCCCCCCCCCCACCTTATCTGTGGTTTTGTTTTCCAAACTTTCAGATACCTGTGGTCAACTATGGTCTGATACTGAATGGAAAGTTCCAGAAATAAACAGTTCAGCCAGTGTGGTTCAGTGGTTGAGCACGTACCGATGCATCAGGAGGTCAGGGCTCAATTCCTGGTCAGGGCAGTCAGGGCAGTCAGGGCACATGCCAGAATTGCAGGCTCGATCCCCAGTAGGGGTTGTGCAGGAGGCAGCCAATCAATGATCTCTCTCTCTCCTTCTCACTTCCTCTCTGAAATCAATTAATAAAACATACAAGAAAGAAAGAAAGAAAGAAAGAAAGAAAGAAAGAAAGAAAGAAAGAAAGAAAGAAAGAAAAGAAAAGAAAAGAAAAGAAGGAAGAAAAAAAGAAAGAAGAATTAAACAATCCATAAGTTTTAAGTTGTGCACCATTCTGAGGAGCACGATAAAATCTCTCACAGCCCTGCTTCATTCTGCCTGGGATGTGAGTCATCCTTTTGTCCACCGGACCCCACACTGTGCACGCCATGCGCCCATTAGTCATGTAGTCGCCCCCTCCATTATCAGGTTAGTTATCAGAGAGAGAGATGAGAGAGAGAGACCACATTCACGTAAACTTTTATTACAGTATATTATAATGATTGTTCTATTGTATGATTAGTGATTGTTATTAATTTCTTACCATGCCTAATTTGTAAATGAACTTGATCACACCTCTGTACGCATTGGAAAAGACCTATTGTGTCCAGGGTTGGGTGTTACCTGCAGTTTCAGGCATCCGCTAAGGCGTTCTGGAATGTATCCTCCCCATAAGGAGGGACCACTCTATCTGCACACAGTAAACGTATTTTCTACTTGTCAGCATCAGTGTATTGGGTTAAGCATTTTGCAAAATGTAAGGGTTTTGTTGTTTGGGATATTTATTATTTGCCTTGAAATGATCAGTGGGCCCGAGAAGGCAGCATTGTCACAGGATAGGGCAGCTAAAATACAAGAAAACTACCTACATTGTTTAGGCCTTCTCCGTAGGGTTCAGGGTTAGAGGGAGAGATACAGTTGGGCTCCGCTCCCAGAGGCTCTGCCCTGCCCTGTGGCCATCCCCTCGACCCCTGCCCTGGCGACTCCCATACCCTTTTCCCCCCCAGATATACTTCCTTTTCAAGTGCTGAAGTTATAAAACAGAACCAAATTTCTTGGAACGTTACACGGGAAAGACTAAAAAAAAAACTCTAAGCCCACCCCAATGGGACATTCTTTTACCTTATAACATCTCCCCTTTCAAGCTGATGTGCAGACTGACATCTCTGCAGAACTTTGCCATCTGTGCAAAAGGATGAATCAGGGCAATTAATATCGTTAGGGCAATTATCTCGCAGTTGACGCTTTTCAGCTGAGGCAAGAGTTCCCCCTAATTTTAAGGTCTGGCTTCAGTCTCCTCACACTCTTAGTTCACTTGCCCACGACACAGTCATCACTCTTGGGCAGCTGTGTTCCAAACAAGAAGTGCCTCCACTGAGCAGGTGGGGCGGGAGAGGTCCATGGATCATGAATTACCAACTTGAATCTGACTGTTGGATCTGCGGCTTCCATGGAGCTTGCACAGGTTAAGTTCTGGTTCACCTTTTGAACTCCCCAAGAGAATGATTAAGAGAGGTATAAACATCCCCCCACTCCCCATTGAATTGCCTAGTGGACTAGTGGAAATGCTATCTCCATCACGCTCGTTGTCACACCACGGAGTTCCACATCTCAGAATCTCAGACGAGGGGCCCCCACTTCCTGCGTGGACCCAGGAACTCACAGGTGCGGGGGACTGATGGGTGGCTTGCCCACCTCCACGCTGGGAGTGCTCCTCCTTTGTTCAGCTGGACCGTCCCACCCCCCTGTAGCAGCCCTGGTGAAAGGCCACGTCCAGTGAGCTCATGAATGTTTCCACCAGCGTGAGGCTGGGCGATGACCCAGAGAAAATCTTAATAAACTCCCAAAGTTTAATTCTCATTTCTATGAGGTCGGTTATTTTGGACAAATATTATTTTAACTTCATAGTACAGATGTCAAATGATTCTGTACTTTCGTGCCTGCCTCCATTCCCCAAATGACTTGTGTGTGTGTGTGTGTGTGTGTGTGTGTGTGTGTGTTGTTATAGCTTTTTTCTGTGTGTGTGTGTGTTGTTGTTGTTTTGTTTGTTTTGTGTGTGTGTGTGTGTGTGTTGTTGTTTTGTTTGGTGTGTGTGTGTGTGTGTGTTGTTGTTTTGTTTGGGGTGTGTGTGTGTGTGTGTGTTTTGTAAATCTCGGTCTGCAGCCGGATGCAGTATTGAAAGCTGAAAGCTGAGCTGTGAGCCCTGAAAGGCGCAGGGCAACATGAATCTGAACCATAAGATAGCTCCAAGTCGGGGATATAGGGGTACAAAGAAGAGGGGCCCGTGTACTTGCAATATGATGTGGGAACCCGTGGAATCCCGCTCAGATACAGAAGAAACAATTTCATTGAACCACGCAAAATTCTAGAAGAGACTTAGGAACACTTTTAAAAATCACCTTGAAAATGTTAGGACCCCCTCTCTCCCCTGCACAACACACACACTTATATGCTGCTCATCCCACAGATGTCTAGTTATTCCCAAGTGTCTGTTACTCCCTTCTTTTTCTAAACTTGAAAGAGAATGGAGGTGGGGTTCAGGGGACAGGGACGTCAAGGAGCATGAAGACACTTAGAACCCGAGGGCGTCTGAGGAGGAGCAGTGGTCTCGGGGGACACAGACAAGGGCTCAAGCCACCACGACAAGACTGTTCCCTTCACGGTTTTCCTCAGGACGCCCCTCTCCAGAACTGAAGGGTCCCCACTTTCCCCGAAGGCATTAGCTTCTGCTGGTTCTCCATAGGAGAAGTTTGAGTTGAGGAATCTGTCCTTTCTGACGGGGGAACATGAGCAGACGTTCTAGTTCCTTGTGGATGTTTACAAATGTTTGCCCTCGGAGGTTGTCTTTACTGACCCAGAATGAACCTATTCACCCAGCGGGTGTCCTGTAGCTCAGGGCATGGCCAGTTGCGTGATGCTCGGTTTTTGCCCTTACCCACTGACAGACTGGGGGGGGCTGTCTTCCCTTCTGCTCGGCAGATCCTGAGCCACATGGTGATGGAGGAGCTGCTGCCCACCCTTCAGGCAGACCTGCTGCCTAAAATGAGGGGGAAGAAGAACGACAGGAAGCGGGCCTGGCTCGGGGTAAGTGATGGCATTGCTCTGCCTCGGTGTTACTCAAATACACAATCCGTCCCTTCTCTTCTTAGGGTACCTTTTTCTTGTTTTAAAACAAGTTCCTTGGTCGAGTCTGCTCAGTCTCACTGCAGTGAGGACTGATCCGAGCGGACTGTAGCTTGGAAAGAAACATTCGAAGGACTGCGTGTGCCGTTTCGTTAACGTTGTGGTCCTCTGTGGTGATCCCTCCTCCCTGGACTTGACTCCCTCGGGCTCTTACCACAGAGCCCTGATTTATTTATTTATTTATTTATTTATTTATTTATTTATTTATTTTTAAAATACATTTAATTGATTTTGTACAGAGAGGAAGGGAGAGAGATAGAGAGCTAGAAACATCGATGAGAGAGAGTCATCAATCAGCTGCCTCTTGCACACCCCCTACTGGGGATATGCCCGCAACCAACGTACATGCCCTTGACCGGAATCGAACCCAGGACCTTTCGGTCCCCAAGCTGACGCTCTATCCATTGAGCCAAACCAGTCTCGGCCACAGAGCCCTGATTTAGGCGTTGATCCCTGTCGCAGCTCCTCGAGGAGGCCTACAACCTGGTGCAGCAGCAGGTGTCAGAGGGACTGAGCGCCTTGAAGGAGGAATGCAGAGCTCTGACCAAGGGCCTGGAAGGAACCATCCGTTCTGACATGGATCAGATAGTCAACTCCAAGAACTTCTTAACTGGGAAGATCAAAGGTCAGTGGAGACGATCCACGTTCGTACTGAGGAAATAGGCTGCTCAGGGAGGGTTGCATCACAGAGTTAGGAGTCATGGTTTCAGAGGAGAGTTACGCTGAGGGGCTGGGGAAGAAGGGATAAGGATTGTAATAGGAGCCTGCTTAGAGGTGCTTCTCAGGGCCTGGCCCTCCCCGTGGAAACTTCAGTGAAACCAGCGTGAGGAAACTCTGCGTCTTGTCTTGTGTGGGTGGGGGGAGGGTAGGAGGGGAGGGTGTGTTCTGATGCCACCTGCACCTCCCCTGTGGTGGCACTTCTTGGCTTATGACCCATGTTCATGATCATTCTGAAATGTCCATTACATGCATTCATTACATGTCTTCTCTCAAAGTTAATTGATAAAGACATCATTATTCTCCTGGCAAACAAAGTTGCATTTGGGTATCAAGCAAGTCATTTTTACTTTATTTTTAAAAATATATCTATATTGATTTCACAGAGGACGGGGGGGGAGAGAGAGATCAATGGTGAGAGAGAGAATCATTGATCAGCTACCTCCTCAGCTGCCTCCTGCATGCCCCCTACTGGTGATAGAGTCCACAACCCAGACATGTGCCCTGACCCGAATCAAACCTTGACTTCCTGGTTCATAGGTTGACACTCAACCACTGAGCCATACCAGCTGGGCACAAGTCATTTTTAGAAATTATAGATTGTTTTATATTTGAATCATGCCATTGAGGTGAAAGGTCTTTTTCCCCTAGTAATTCTATGACCTGCTTAATATTTTATATCCCAAATATTTATGAGTTATACATGATATGAATAGTATTGGTCATCTTAGATTCTCAGAGAAAAGAGGCAGTATGATCTTCTTACCTCTGTGAACCAGTTCTGAGAATTGAAATAAGAATGTGACCGTTATTGGCACATAATGTGTAAGCAACTTAAGTGCCAATAAAAACTTAAGAAATAGACTTGAAGTTCTGTTTCTGCACATTAGGACTTGACCTTGGTCAAGCCGTCTAATATCTTCAGGCCTCTATTTTTCCATCTGTAAAATGGAGGATTGGCCATTCAGATGAGTGAGTACTTCCCTCTTCGGCTTGGTCATGTGACATGGTCATGTGACTAGCTCCTCAGAGCTGGCATTCCAGTCCATGGAGCGAGGTCAGGCCTCTTCCAGCTCAGGGTTCCTTCCCGGGATCGCTGCTTCCAAACCTGGCCAGCCATGAGCATCACCTTAGCCCTTAGCAACAACAACAACAAATAATAATAATAACACAGATCTCATTGGCCCAGCCAGACTTCCTAAAGCAGAATCGTTGCTATGTTCTTCCTCAGCTAATTCAAAGGGCAGCATTTGCCTCTGGGAAGTGGGAGGATGGTTATATTTTTTTCCATCCCTCTTTCTTTTTTTTAAAAAAATATTTTTTTATTGATTTCAGAGAGGAAGGGGAAGAGAGATAGAAACATCAATGATGAGAGAGAATCACTGATCCGTTGCCTCCTGTACACCCTGCACTGGGGATCAAGCCCACAACCCAGGCAAGTGCCCTGTCCGGGAATCAACTGTGACCCCTGGTTCATAGGCCGATGCTCAACCACTGAGCCACACACATTGGCTGGGTTCCCATCCCTCTTACTGATTTTCTGTGCTCTCTACATTTTTGTCACTGTGCATGTTGTCCTTGATTATCAGAACAAAAAATAATGTTGTTTTTTTTTTAATTGGGGGTGGGAAAGAGATGTGGGGGTGACAAACTGAAAGGAATTTGCTTCCATTTGCCCAAGAAACGACTGTACTTGAGTTTTTAAAAGTCTCTGGAGAAGGCAAGAGGGGGAATTGAATTATATTATATTGATTGACTCTTAGAGAAATAAGACAATAAATTGTTGTGCACAAATAATCAATCATTATGTTGTACAGCTGAAACTAATATAATGTCATGTGTCAATTATACCTCAATTTAAAAATAAGCTTAATAAGTTTTGATTTTAGAAGGAAACTATGTATACAGGGGTGGGCAAAAGTAGATATACAGCTGTGAGTACGAAAAACACATTTGTTTTTGTATAATTATTTACTCTTGTATTATATATTTTTTCCATGTGAACAACTGTACACCTACTTTTGCCCAGCCCTGTGTATAATGACAGTGATTGACGGATGTCTGGCTTTTTTTTTTTTTTTTTTAAATATTACAGAGAGGAAGGGAGAGAGATAGAGAGTCAGAAACATTGATGAGAAAGAATCATCGACCAGCTGCCTCCTGCACACCCCCCACTGGGGATGTGCCCATAACCAATGTGCATGCCCTTGACCAGAATTGAACCTGGGACCCTTCAGTCTGCAGACCAACGCTCTATCCACTGAGCCAAACCAGTTTCAGCTATCTGTATTAGACACTGTATGCTTATAGGGACCAAGCAGAAAAAGGCATTTCATCCCAGGGCAGAGGGGAAAGCTTGGGGAGGGGAGACATCCTGTCTGTTTCCATTTTCAAACCACCTACTGGTTTTCTGTCCTGCTGAATGCTGGCTCGGGGCTGGCTGAGTTGGCTTGTCGGGCCCTTGGAGCTTGCCGTGGCTGCTCAGTGGCTCTGTGGGGCAGCTGCCCAGCCCTAGCCTGGCTCTAGTGCCTTTGCATCCACGTTTGCCCCAAGTCACGGTTTCCTGGCTGTCTCCTTCCGCAGCGATGGTGGCCCAGCCAGCGGAGAAAAGCTGTGCGGAGAGCGTGCAGCCATTCCTGGCGTCCATTCTGGAGGAGCTCATGGGGCCCGTGAGCTCAGGATTCAGTGAAGTGCGCTCCCTCTTTGAAAAGGAAGTGGACAAACTCAGCCAGAACTTCCAGACCAGCAAGGACAATGCCCAGCTAAAGGAGGTACAATAGGATGTGAAGCCCAGGAGTTCGGAGTGAATGGTCTGCCTGGGGCTGCCTCTTCCCTGGGGCTTTATCTGCATTCATCTCGTCTTTTCTTCCTTCCCACCCTTCCTTCCTTCATTCATCTGCCCTTCCAGCCATTCATCTAGTCTGTCTTTCATTCATCCAACAACCCATTCATCCATCCGTCTACCTGATTTCCTTTATTGATGGTTTCAAGATGCAAAAATAACAATGGATCACCGATAGCCACCCAACCCTAGCCCACCCCTAGCTCCTAGACCACCTCCCCTCCCAACTCCCTGAATTAACTAATACAAGTATTATAGCTCAGAATGCATTTACACATACTTTTCCCTTGTTCATACATATGCATTTAGCATCATTTGTATAAATTTTTTGTTCATCGATTTGTTTGTTGCTAAAAATATGGTCCCTATATCAGCAGTAGCAGCAGCAGCACCTGGCTGTTAATATGCAAATTCTCAGGCCTTCACCAAACATCTACCAAGTCAGAAACTCTGGGCAGCGTGTTCTAGGCGACCTCCAGAGGATCTGGCGCGCCCTAAAGAGTGACAGTCGCTGACAGACATGACTTGTCAACTTGGTTTTACACTTGACACATGATGGACATTCCTACAAGTCAGTGGATAAGATCAGATATGTCTCTTTCTTTTCTTATTTCTCTGTGCATACATACATGTCATTGTACATAAACAAGATCATTTTGTATATATTTTGAGGTTTCGTATTGCAGCCTTATTTTTAAACTTGTCTTTGCTTTTCCATCCTCCTCCCACACCTCTCCCCTCCCCTCAAGTAAATAGTGTCAACACCTTAGCATGTGCCATTCTGTAATTTTCCCATGCTTATATAGCATACTAGAGGCCTGGTGCATGAAATTCGGAGGAGGTGGCGGGGAATCCCTCAGCCCGGCCTGCGCTCTCTCTTAGTCCAGGAGCCCCATGATTGATTGCCCTTCAGAGGAAGGCTCCGCCTGCCCACTTATCACAGCCCACCAGCCCGTGGCCTGGGCCTCCCTCTGCGGTTGATTGTGGGCTATTGCAGTCTCCCCCTCCCCCAATCTTATCAGCACCCTCCCTGGCTGGCTTGGCCCCAGTGCGTGTCATAGCGGGGTCGATCTGCTGTTCAGCTGTTCAGTTGATTTGCATATTATGCCTTTATTAGTATAGGCAAAACACACACATTCATAGGCTATTTGCTTAGATTGCTTCGTCTTAGAAAAATGGGATTATGCTATATAGACTATCAGTATTCTCATTCAAAAATGCCTCAAGAAACTATTTCCAAGTTAACTGTTCTAGCTCTAACTCATTCATTATAATGGCTGCATAATATGTCATGCATGATTTATTCAACCATCCAGATGTTGCTGGCATGGAGCAAAGCTATGATAAATAACCTTATTAACATAATCTTACATGTTGATGCTTTTCATTTCTATGGGATAGATTCCTAGGACAGAATTTCTAGGTCGAAAGGTAGGTTCCTTCCTCATGTTAAGATGTTGCCATTTGTGTTCCCCCAAAAGGATTTAAAATCGACATTGACACCCATTGTGTATGGCAGAGGGCTTTCTTCCTCACATTCCCATCAGAGATAGGTGTTACCACTTGTTTACACTTTCGCCAATCTGATAGGTCCTAGCAGCTAGGAGCAAAGCGGTGACCCCAGCAGCAAGCTAACCTACCCCCAGGTGGTCAAACGGTTCAACAAACAGTTAGGATATTAGGCTTTTGTTATAGAGGATGTGTGTAATATTGTTCCTAAGTCTGAATGGGTTAATTTTTCCCCTTCGCTCAAATGCAGCACCTGGACCGGCTTATGAGTCTCCCCCTGGATTCTGTGAAGATGGAACCTTGTTACATCAAAGTCAACCAGCTCGAGGAGCGCCTGCAGGATCTCAAGAGCCGCTTCCGATTCCCCCACGTGGACCTGGTGGTGCAGCGGACACAGAACTACATGCAAGAGGTGGGTGCCCACAGGGTCCTCCTGGGGAAGAGAATGAGCCAGCGGGGAAGCAAGCTCAGGCAGATGGGACTGGCGTGCTTGCAGCCAGGAAGCGTGGCCATTGCCTTTGTCATCGTTTCTGTCCTTCTAGCTGGCTTCATCTTCCCCCCATGTCATAGAGCAGAAACATCATAGAATAGAACATCATGGAGTAGAAACATCCAGGGAAATAAAGCGGCACTAATTAATAATTACTTGGTTTGTCAACCCCCTGGCAATGGGCACGGAGACACCTGATTGGTGGTGTTACAATCAGGGGCAAAGCAGACGTACAGTCCTTAGCTCATCCTAGCTTGATGCCTGTGTTGGTGGCCAGAGCTGTTTCATGCCTGAGGCACATTTAAAAAAAAAAAATTACTTGGTTTGTCAAATCAGTGCTTCTAACGGTGGCTGCACATTAGAATGGCCTGGGGAGCTTTTAAGAAATACTGATGTCTAGGCCCCACCTCCAGTGATTCTGATTATATATATTTTAAATTGTTTTCTAATTATTGAAGGTGTATCAATCTATAATTCAATCATTTTTAAAATTTTAACATTTTAGGATAATGTTTAAAATAATTTAATAATTTCAAACATACATTTTTATTGATTTTTAGAAAGTGAGAGAGAGAGAGAGAGAGAGAAACATTAATGTGGAGAGAAACATGGATTGGCTGCCTCCTGCATGCCCCCTACTGAGGATGGAGCCTGCAGCCTGGGCATGTAGTCCCAACAGGGAATTGAACCAGCAACCTTTCGGTGCATGGGACGACACCCAACCAACTGAGCCAAACTGGCAGGGCTATATTTTAATAACTTTTACATTTCTAATATGTGTCCAGGATGGAGATCCACTGGCTTCAATGAATCCCCTAACCTAGAGTCAGTCAGTCACTCATAGCTTCCTATTCGGATGCCTTGTGTTTATTTGGTCGGTTCCTCGTTTCCCTACGAGGAACAGGGATGAATAGCACACTCTTTCCATAGGATAGCGATTCATCAATGAAGAGAGGGTGTGCTCATGGAAGCCGTAAGAGCACAGTCCTCTTTTACAGAGTTTCCAGGGCAGCTTACGGGGCTGAACACTGTGCCAGATCCCGCTTTAGGGAACTGATAGGGAGACAGGGTCTTAGATAAACCCACTACCATGTTGAGAATGCACTGAGAAAGAAAGATATGTGTTGAATGCCCTGGGAATTACAGGCTTGGAAAAGAAAGGAGCTTTTTTATTTTATTTTATTTTATTCCTTGAAAGTTATAGGCAGGATTAAGTGACACATCTTATTACCTAACCTCTGCGTTGTGAGGGATTAAAAATGGACAGGGAACAAAATTGGGCAATCATTAGACAGAGTCCCTGTGATCCTACCGAACCCAGGTGGAGCTTACAGGGGCACGAGTGCAGAGAATACGAAATCTGAGCTGCTTCTGTTTCTTAACCTGTTAACCCAGCGGGACCTATAAATACGTCAAACGTAAACAATATCGGGAACGGGTAGGACGTATGAATACGTTCTGGAAATATATGTTGCGCCCTGAGAGGGACGGTATATATTTTTTGTAATCTTTATAATTGTTTGTAAAATTTATAATTTTTTAATTCGATGTTTCCATTTTTTTGTTGGTATTCTTTTCAATTTTTTTGTAATTTTGTATTTTCCTTTGTGCTTTATATATAAATAAATGAAAAAAATATATATCATTTATTTTAATTAAGTATAAATAAAAAAATAATAATATGAAATTACGTCCTCCGGGCGTGACATACTGACCCGTCCCAGTGAAAGAGTACGCGCCCGTTACAGGTTGCGTAATTAAAAAGGGAACCCCCCGGTTAACAGGCTAACCCGTAACCGTGTCAGCCACTGTCTGCCCCTGTCTGCCCCACGCCCTCACCCCGTCTCCCTTCCCATCCTGGCGGAGGTGTGAGGAGGTGGATGGGAGGTGGAGAGAGAGAAAGAGACGCTGGGTAGCTTACATCCACCTGAAAGTGTATGTGCAGAGTAGAAGCAGCCAAAAATAACTGGAGGTGACTCCCACCTTGTCTTGGTTCGCCCGGGCTGCAGGTGTCAGAGGTTAGCAGAAGGGAGTGACCACCGGAGATGGAGGTAATTTTAATCCCATAGCCTTGGGGTTTCCAGTTCAGGGTAGAAAGAGATGAGAAGAAAGGATGCATATATGTATATAGATACATGCCAGTGTGTGTGTGTGTGAGTGTGTGTGTGTTTCCCAGTCTCTTACTGATCCCACCGTGGCCATGTGCCTATGTATGTCACAGTTCAGACAGTGGGGTGAGGACTCACCCCTGGAAAATCTGGAAAATAAGAGATGGTCACACCCTCCCTCCTCTCCCGCGGACTTAGGCAGACCCGTGGTGGTGCCCTGCCTCTGACCATGCTGTTTCCGTGTTGCGTTGGTTTCTAGCTCATGGAGAATGCTGTATTCACTTTTGAGCAATTGCTTTCCCCACATCTCCAAGGAGAGGCCTCCAAAACAGCCATCGCCATTGAGAAGGTGAAGCTCCGAGTCTTAAAGGTAAAACCACTTTTTCATGTGGGAAGCATGCAGCAAGACTGTGGCCCCTGTTTCTCTTTAAATGGAAAACTCCAAGTTCTTTTACTTGCCCCCTTCTCTCTCTCTCATCTTTCGCATCTTTCCTGCCTGGGGTTCCAGTGACTGTTAGGTACCGGCAGTTCCCCCAACATGACTTTCATGCCTCTCCTGCCATCTAGTGGCTATTTTAGAGATCACAGGTCCTCATCGTTGTTGCCCATCCACGGGAAACATGTCTGAGTTTACTTTTAAGGCAATTGGATTTGATATTTATTGCCTGTCCACTATAAGCAAAACATTGTGATGGGTATTGCATGGAATATAAAACTATTTAAATAGCCAGCATATTTTAGGAAAATCGGCACTTCGTGGCAAAGGAAATATACTCTAAGAAAAAGATACCTGCCAGAGAGAGAGGGGGGGAGAGAGAGATTGGCACATTAAATTGTTCCATTTTTAATGTGTTTAATGTTTAAGTATGTATCAAAATAGTTGTAATAATAGTTTACATATGTGTGCTATATTTTTAAAGCTTGTTTGAACCGATCATGTTTCATTTTGATCTTCACTAGAACTTATGAGATAATTAGAATATGTTCCCATTGTAGAGATGAAGAAACTGACTCTCTAAGAGCTCACATGACTTACTTAAGCTCAACAGGCTAGTCCAGGGTGACCCTAGAGCTTACTTACATTATCCTTAGAACTAATGCATTGATTTTTTTACTTCCTCCTTCTCCTACACCAATGATTTTCAACAGGTGAGCCACAAGAATTTTTCAAGCATGCAATACCTGACCATTTAATCAGGGGCACTGACCTCTTTTCCCTGAAATTGTCAAATAAGAAAATTACAACAACAACAGCCATCTGGCACGAATCAATCAGTTATATCTATTTTCAGATCAGCAAAAATATAATATATATTTTTGGTGTGCCATAGAATTTTAGTAATTTGTTTATGTGTGCCACGAGATGGGGAAAAAAAGTTGAAATTGTTTCCCTATACAGTGCTTGGAGCAGCAGAGCAAAGTTCCTCAGGGCCTGGGAGAGATCCCAGAGTTTCAGACCTGATGTTGAGGTGCCACAGGCAGTAGTCAACTCTGGCAACCAAATCATTGGAACACAAATAATAATGAACTTGAAGTTGAGAAAGAAGAGCTATCAATGTCACTATCAATGTCACCTCCAGTGTCAGGACACGTTATACCTCTCCGCGCAGTCGCTTCCTGATAGAAAGCCAAAGTCCTCAGCAGCCGTCCACCTAGTTCTACCCGCTTTGCCAAGTTCCTTCTTCCACCTGGTTGCCTTCCCTTGTTTGACTAGAGCTATCATTTAGCCTTGAGTCACTGCCTCTGGTATAAATGCCTTCCTCTCATCCGCCATTCTTCCTTTGGCCTGGCCATTCTGCTCACATGCCTGCGACTAGTATGCTCCAGTTTCTCCTGTGATCCCCTAAAAGTGGCATCTAAAACCAAGCTCCGGTCTCTCGGTGTGGATGACCCATGCCGCGCAACGTGAATCATCACCTTCCTTATTCTAGATTATTCTAAACTTCTCTGGCTAACACGCCACGGTGTTAGTGTAGCTGTGAGCCAGGCTCTCTCTTCCCTTGCGGAAACCGTTACAACCCACAAATCCTGCTTTTAGGATGTGGAATGAAACAAGTAGATGACTATCACTCCCAAGGACCCACCCAGGATAGGGGCGACGAAACACAAATCCACCCACCCTGGTTCTATCTCCAACTCCTTTCTACGGCAGGAGTTGCTGTTTTGATCTTGCCTTGGTTTCCATATCTGTAAGGGGGGGGGAGGGGCAAGGTGGGTCAATATCAGTCAGGACCTCCACCTGGAGTGTGAGAGAATTGCATGGGAAGGTCTCTGAGACCTTGGCAATGCCACCAGGGTCCTTAGACCGAAGGGGGAGGGGAGGAGAGGAAGTGGGTGGCTGAGGTTTCTGTTGAAGGGAAAGCTAACAGATTGCCGCGTTGCTGTTGAGCATATGTTTCTCTCTGTGTATCAACAGCAATACGATTATGACAGCAGCACCATCCGGAAAAGGATATTTCAAGAGGCCCTCGTTCAGATCACACTTCCCACCGTGCAGAAGGCCCTGGCGTCCACCTGCAAACCGGTGAGGGCCGGGTTCCTCCGCAGAGCCTGCTCTCATTGCCTGTGAAGTTCAAGCACAGCTCGTGTATTTACTTATTTATTTTGGCCATGGTGTGCTTGCACACGGTAGGAGGGGCTGGCAAACGTTTCCTGTCAGTGGTCCAATGGTAAATACATTGGGTTTCACGGGCCATACGGTTTCTGTTGCAACTACCTAGCTCTGCCCCAATGCAGCCACAGACTCGACATAGACAAATGGGCACAGCTGGGTTTCAGCATAACTCAATCTTACAAAACCCAGCAGCGGGCGGGACTTGCCGAGCCCTGGACCAGACAGAAATCTCAAAGGGTAATGATCTGAGTTTGAGCCAAGCTAAGGGTTTGCTTAGAACACCTGAGAATACCAGACATTCCTCATTATAGAAGGACTCCCAGGTCCACCGTGTCCTCTGGAACGTGGCCACTACCACCCGGAAAAGATCCGAAGTAACCTGATTGATTACAGGAGGATATTTGCTCTGTTGAATCCAGTAAGGTTTGTTTAGTGAAATAAATCACGTAAAGCTATTGGGAGCCCCAGGCAACCAGTTGACAGCCATGATGGTGAAATGTGATGTAGTCTGCAGAGCAGAGTAATGGGAGAGCCGGCTCTGGAAGCTGCTTCAAGACCTGGGTTCAAGTCCTGGCTCATCCAGGTATCGGCTCTCGAGCCTTGGGCAAGTCACTTTTTCTCTCTCTTGGCCAAGATTTTCTCTTGTAAAAAAAAAATGGAGCTAGCAATATCTTGCAGTAGTCTTCTTAAGACTGAGAAGAAGAAAAAAAAAAAAAAAAAAAAAAAAAAAAAAAAAAAAAAGACTGAGAAGACTTGCCCAGAAGACTTGCCCAGGACTCAGAGGTTCTGTTTCCTGTCAGGGCACATGGCCAGGTTACAGGCTCCATCTCCAATGGGGGGCGAGAAGGAGGGAGTCAGTTGATGATGCGCTCTCATCATTGACGTTTCTATCGCTCTCCCTTCCTCTCTGAAATCAATGAAAAATTACGTTTTTTTAAATAAAAATACATTTGAAAAATTGAGAAGACTGGCATGAGGCAATTCACATTTGATGAGGGCTTACCACGTGTGCAAGGCCCTCTGCACGGATCAGCTCAGTGATTCCTAGGACAGCCCTCTGAGGAGGTGCTATGTATGTGCTGGCTGTAGCGGTGAGGAGGCCCCACATCACACAGCTGGCCACCCGCAGAGTCTGCGACCCAGCTCACACTCCATGGTCCAGTGGTCGGCAAACCCATGAGTCCACAGAGCCAAATATCAACAGTACAACGACTGAAATTTCTTTTGAGAGCCAAATTTTTTTAAACTTCAACTTCTTCTAACGCCGCTTCTTCAAAATAGACTTACCCAGGCCATGGTATTTTGTGGAAGAGCCAGACTCAAGGGGCCAAAGAGCCACGTGTGGCTCTCAATCCGCAGTTTGCCGACCACGGCCCTGGTCGCATGTGATGCCCTGGGAAGATGGGAAATGCTCCCATCACTACTTGGCCGTTTCAGAAATGATCTACGAGCCTGGACATCGTCAAGGCCCGCTGCCTCTGGGAGCAGGTGATAAAGAGCCTTTGGCATTTAAAAGGGGCCTTTTGGCGGCTCAGAGAGCCCCCAAGCATTGGACCGTTAGACCCCTTCCCATGAGTTATTTGGCTGCAGCAATTTCCTCAGTCATTCTTATATTCTCTACCTGCTGTTTTTCTTCAGTGTCATCAGCATGTCTAGCCCCTGGCATCCCCTTCGTCCACAGAAAGGGGTTTGCTGAGGAGTGAAGCATCTGTCCGGTGACTGCCCCTCGGCCCACGTGGGTGGGAAGTGCGGCTGCCCACAGGGTGACTCAGTCCGCCCGTGGACGTGTCTGCGCGCAGACTTCCTGCTTAGGTGCTTTCCTTTTCTAATCCCAAAGGCGGTCTGGGGGCCTCGGAGCCTCCGTGAAAGGTGAAAGGTAGAGGGTAAGGCAAGTCTCCCTGCCATCTGCCCCCCTCTGTCCACCCATCAACCCAGTGGGACCCAAGTTGTAACTGGCTCTTGTGATTGTCAATCCAGAGAGACTGGTTTCCAAAGAACCCGTCACCTGCGGCTTTCTGTGATGAAGGATATGGTTTTGTTTTGTGTTTTTTTTTTAAATTTGGATTTGCAGAACAGATACATCAGGGAGTGTCAGCTTCAGAGAGGAATTCTTTATCTCAGTAACGTGTTTCCTTTGGCTCTTGAAGTCGCGGCCTCCCAGATGGGTGGCACGAACATCAGGACGCATGCTGGGATGACCTGGGAAGCTTTATAAAAGTGCTGGTGCCCCACGTCCCACCTGCAGGGGTTCCATCTGATTGACCCAAGGGAGTAAATGGATGTTGCAGTTCAATCTACTTAATAGGGAAGACCTCGTCCAGTCCCTGTTTTGTAAGGCTGGACACGTCATGGCAGATTGTCGTGACAGTATAACTGTTCCTTTCCACAGAATTATTGTATTTAGCTGGTTGAAAATTTAAAGGTCTCCTCTTTATCCAGCAGACATGTATTAAATATGAATCAGATATGATCCGGGCATGGTCCAGGCCAGCATCCCTGCTGTCCGGAGGTTCATAGCCCACAGGCAGACACACGGAATGCCGAATGATGGGCACAGCAGTAGCCTCATGGGAAGAGTTCCTCATGGCTGGGGTTCCGAGGAGGGTACCCTACTTTGCTTGTGGGGTCAAGGAGGGCTGCAGAGTCCTGCTTTTTTTCACAGAGGAAGAGAGAGGTGCAGAGCAGTGATGATGCTTGCCCAGGGTCCCTCATCCAGTCCAGGGCAGCGTCCGGGCTCCTGAGTAATGGTCCTGCTATCCATTGTCTGTGTGTCTCACAGACCCTCATGGAGTCATGGGAGCTCGTTTCTCAATCCTCTGGGGTACATATACAGGGACCCCATGAGAGGCCGCTACGAGCTGGTCCTGGGCTACTCCAGACCCCCAAGTCCCAGCACCGACAGCTGTCTGAATGTGGTGACTCCTGACCACCTGCCCCTGAGGCAAAAGATGTCCAATCCCACTCTTAGTCTCTGGCTCTCCAAAGCCACACGTGGGGAGCCCTTGTCCAGCACCACTGGGTGCAAGGATCTGAGTTAATCACTGGGATGCAATTGGTGCTCTTTGATCCCTGCTCTGTCCTCAAGCTGGTAGCAGGCAAGCCATCTGGAGACCGTTGGGAAGCAGAAGGGTTCGAGGACTTTGCGTCCTGCCTGGGTTGTTTCATGGGAATAGGTGAGTGTCAGGCCAGGGAGGGAGAGCGGAGCCTTCACCTGAGATCCCAACAACCTGAAAAGGGGCCCCGTTCTAATGAGGTTAACACACATTTACCCACAGGACCCGCAGTCTCACTTCCAAGATAAGTAGGTCCTTAAATCTCCAAATTCACGCACAAGAATATTCACAGCATTTATAGTCCTCACAGTCAAAAATTGGGAGGAAAACCTCAGTATCCATCAACAGTAGTATGGATAAACCATTTTAGTTTATTCATATGATGAATGTCCTATCAATAAGTATCAATAAGAGGGAACAAGCTACAGATACATGCAGCAAAATGGATGAATCTCAAACAAACCCAAAAGAATGGACAGTTGCACTCGCATAAAGTTCAAGAGCAAGAAGAACTAAGTTTAAGAACAAAAAGAACTGAGCTCTTGTGATAGATATCAGAGCAGTGCTTACCTCTGGAGGATTAGACTAGGAAAAAGCATGGGAGTGATCTCCTCTGTCTTGATTTGGCTTATGATTTCATCTTTTTAAAATAATTGAGCTGTACATTTTTTAAGATATGTTTTTTATTGATTTAAGAGAGGAAGGGTGAGGGAGAGAAAGATAGAAACATCAGTGATGAGAGAGAATCACTGATTGGCTGCCTCCTGCATGCCCCTACTGGAAATTGAGTCCGCAACATAGGCATGTACCCTTGATCAGAATCGAACCCAGGACCCTTCAGTCCACAGGCTGATGCTCTATCCACTGAGCCTAACTGGGTAGGACTGAGCTGTCCTTTTAAAATGTTTGCATTGTATTGTGTGCAGCATATACCTTGGAAAGTACTGTTGGTATATTTTTTAAAAAGGAAGAAGAAAAGACGTTGGTTATGAAAAAAAGGAGGGCCCCAGACTCAGTGACAGCCCTTGAGATGATCAAATCTCTGGGTCTTCCCACTGTGTGCATAAAGAGTGGCACCACAGGGGGTTGGTAGTGGGACACGTTCTTTTTTGTTGTTGTGAATCCTCACTCTAAGATATTTTTTCCATTGATTCTTAGAATGGAAGAATGGGGAGAGAGGGAGAGAGAGAGACATGGGTATGAAAGCCATGTCTCCTCCATGAACTGGCATCTCATGCCTTGCCCTCTGTCTCTTGCTCTCCAGGAACTTCAGAAATATGAGCAGTTCATCTTCGCTGATCACACCAACATGATCCATGTGGAGAACGTGTACGAGGAGATTTTACATCAGATGCTCCTTGATGAAACCCTGAAAGGTGAGGGAGGTTCACCTGATGCCAGAGGGAACTCTGGAGAGAGGGGAGCACCCCAGAAAGGAGGCCCAGTATGGCCAGCTTGGTTTGCTCACAGGTTTGAAAAGGAACGGGGAAATTGATGTTGCTGAGGAGACAGAGAAGGGACACTCACCCTGACTGAGCAAGCACACACTATACCAGTCCGTTATATATATATATGTATGTATGTATGTATGTATAAAATAAATACCAGTCTTTCTCTGTCGTTACAAATAAGAACTCAGTGAGATGGACATCTTGAACTTCGTTTTTGGATTAGAAAACTGAGGTTGGGAGAGATTAAACTTATGAACAGCTGTCTTCCTACAGCTGCTCCAGACAGAACAAAAGAAAAAGGGCTCCTCTTAGCCACAGGCTCGGGACCCCGCCCAGAGCGGGAGGAGGTGATCCCAGGAGCAGCTACTCTCCAGGCACATTCCTCACCTCCTCGCAGCTGCAGCGGGGCAGAAAAGGACACAGGGTGATGGCACAGGGCGCTGGGAGGCTTACCAGGACTCCAATGCCCGCTGTGGAGGCAGGCCTTGCTCAGGACAGGAGTGTGGCCAGGAAAACTTTGATGGAGATATGGAGGGTCACCCATTAAAGTGTAGGCCTGAAACGCACCTGATCTCCATGGGGAGGATGCTAAGCATCACAAAACCCCTCCACAAGGAACGCTGGCCACGCACAGGCCCTGGGTCAGGTCGCAGTAGCCCCTCATAGGGGATCCAGTGAGATAAGAATGTAAAGGGAAGGACTCGCTGGGAAGGGCACAGTCAAGGCCACTGCCGGCCCACTACAGCACCTAGGGGTGAGTTAGAAAAAGGCTACCTTCCCCTGAAACCTATATAATTTTATTAACCAATGTTACCCCCAATAAATTCAATAAAAAATACACACAAATTGGTAATTACAAAATAGTCACAGGGATGTAAAGTACAGCATAGGAAAGATAGTCAACGAGAAGCCTGATGCATAAAGATCTGCGCCAGAATGGGCCTTCCTTTCCCTGGCTGCTGGCACTGCTTTCCCTCTGGTCCGGAGCCACCTTTCTACCTTCCTACGCTGCCCAGAGGCCCAGAGTGGCCACATATGCAAATTCACCACCATCTTTGTTGGTTACTCACTCCTGATTGGCTGTGGGCATTGCAAAGGTACAGTCAATTAGCATGTTTATTATTAGGTAATATAATATTGTAATAACTATATATGGGGCTAGGTGGGTGCTAGAAATATTGGGGCTTATGTCTAAGCTCTATTCTGTATATCTAAAACGAATGCAAAATAATACTGAATGTAAACTCTAATTGAAAAAATTTCAATTATGATAAAGAACTAATTTGTCTAAGCTAAGAAGGAAAATGGTAACAATGGCAATAAAGTAAGTGCTTATTTACAAAAAGAAAAGAGAAAGGCTCCAGACCCTGGACTGCTCTCTGTCCAAATATAACCACCATAGGCTGATTTTATGAGAGCAGGACACTCTCCTGCTAGCTGCTGGGAAATTATTATGCTGACTATGCAGGCCTACGCTGTCTCTCATGTCAGGGGCTCCCATTTGGAGGTGACACTGTCGGGCATTGCACAGCCATAAGCAAAGGCCTAGTGACAAAAATGCCACTGCTGTCCTCATCAGTGTGCTTCCTCCTCAGAGGCCTCTGAGATGGAGCTGGGTGGGCAGAGCCTCCTTTTGGAATGCCTGGTTAGTTTTGCCCTAGCATCTTAGATGCAAGCATTTTGCCACAAACATTTTTTTTTCTCCTCATAACTAATTGGCTGAAAGGCAATTTTGTCATAAAAAAAAAAGGATAAAATTATGACAAATAAAAAAGGTACATTAAAACTGAATCACCAAATTAGAAAGACTTCATTGCAAAATACAAAATATTTGAATTCATTACAAATGTGCATAGATTCACGGCAATCCTGGGCAAATAGCTGATTTTGTTTTGTAGATTGTACACAAGGTCTGGTCCTGGTTCTACAGGAAATGTGGGCTCAACTCTGTGCTCTCAGAGGCCCTTAGTGCCTCTCTTTCCCCAATTTAGTGTTTCAAGATGAGCAACCAGCTAGCTCTTGGGGCAAGAATCATCACCACCCAGAAAAAAATGCTAACTATTTTAAGACCACTACTATTTATGTTCTCCACTTCTTTGCCAATGGAGAAATGAAACCAAATGGACAAAAAATAAAAACAGAGCAACACAAAAACCCACACTGTCAACCAGATTTTTATCTTTTTTTTTTTTTTAACAACAAATTTGCCTTACAGCCATTTAGTTATGTATCGACAATGTTTTTGTTAAAAATGCTTGTGACATTGGCTGTGGTGGCTCAATGGTTGAGTGTAGACTTATGAACCAGGAGGTTACAGTTCGATTGCTGGGTTGTGTGCTTGATCCCCAGTGGGGGGCATGCATGATTTTCTCTCATGGTTGATGTTTCTATCTCTCCCTCTCTCTTCCTCTCTGAAATCAGTATTATATATATATTTTAATGTATTTTATTTGATTTTTTACAGAGAGGAAAAGAGAGGGATAGAGTTAGAAACATCGATGGGAGAGAAACATCGATCAGCTGCCTCTTGCACAGCCCTTACTGAGGATGTGCCCACAACCAAGGTACATGCCCTTGACTGGAATCGAACCTGGGACCTTTCAGTCCTCAGGCCAATGCTCTACCACTGAGCCAAACCGGTTAGGGCAGGAGTTTGGCTTTTGGTTAAACAAACAAACAAACAAACAAGTAAATAAATAAATAAATAAATAAATAAATAAATAAAATCAAGAAAAGCCGATTGGCCAGGGCAGGGCGCTCACGTCCTGTTGTTTTGTGTTCTGGTGTCGCAGTGATAAAGGAAGCTGCCATCCTGAAGAAACACAACCTGTTTGAAGACAACGTGGCCTTGCCCAGTGAGAGCGTGTCCAGCCTGACCGACCTCAAGACCCCCGTGGGCTCCAACCAGGCCAGCCCCGCCCGGCGGGCCTCGGCCGTTCTGCTGGGCGCTGCCCACGGTGAGGCCCCGAGTAACGACGTGTTCCCGGAGCCAGAGGAGAAGCAGCTGCCTGGGGCCCCTGGCCCGCCGGCCCCGGGAGAAAGCCTTTCCCTCCCGGGTGGGGATGCGCAGGGGGTTCCTTCAGGCCCGGGGGACCCTGTCGTGAGCCCCGCGGCCGCAGAGGACACCGCAGGAGCCCGGGGCTCCCACACATCGGAGCTGGAGTTTGCAGCGGGGACTCCTGCGGATGGAGAAGCCGCCGCCCCCCAGGAGCCGCCATCCATCTCTGCCTCGTGCTCCTTGCAGGAGCTCAGAAATCTGTTGACCGTGACCGTCGAAGTACCCGTGGCGCCTGCCACCCTCGAGACTGAAAAAGATGCCCATCAGGAGACCCCTGTTCCCCAAGAAATGGAAAAAGAGGAGGAAACGACCCAAATCCACACGGAGGTCGCTCCAGCAGCCGCCTCCCGTCAGGACGCCAGTGAAGACGGTGGAGTCAGGGAGAAGGAGGCCCATGCTCCAGCTGTCGAGGCAGAGGCCGAGGCCGAGGCAGGGGCGGCTGGGGTGGAGTCAGGGGGATGTGCAGAGGCTCAGCCAGCCTGCGGGGGGCTCAGCCAGGCCCCCAGCGGCCCAGGCCCCACAGAAGAGCAGGCAGAGGCCGGGGATCCCACTGGGAGGGACGCCCATGAAGGAGGTAAGGCCATGCCAGAGGGAGGCTGCATTTTAAATTCTGACCCCATGGGCCCCGGGGAGAGCCAGGGCTCCGTGGAAGAAGCGGTCGGAGGGACCAGTGGCCCGGCCCAGGCTGCTGAGGAGGTTAAGAGTCCCCGTGTGTACGAGTGTCAGTGGGTGGTGGAGGACGTGCCAAACACCGACATCCTAGGTCCACAGAAGGAGGATGCGAGGGAGAGTCCCCCAGAGCAGCCCTCGGAGGAGTGAAAGGGACCATTTGGCAAAAGTGTCTCTATGAGCAAACCCAGCCAACGGGTTCATGATGGGTACACTTAGGGGTGCATGGGACTGTTAAAAAAGACAAAAAAGAAAAAAAAAAGTATTACGTCCTTCCTTAACTTGTAGAATGAAATCAGAGGGGCTGCACACGGGGCGTGAGCACGGAGGCAAGCCCTGTGGGATGGAGCTGCTCTGCCATGAGTGACCGCTTTAGCATTTTCGTAGGCAGCTGAGGGTGCCCCGGGGAGGGAGTGGGGACAGAGAAAAGAGCAGGAGCATGGTTTTCAATACACTCTCCGTTTCTTCTAACGCACTTCAAGGCATTTCCATTCTTTGTAAGAACGCAAATCGATGCTGTAACCCCCACTTCACCGTCTCCTATACGGACTTCACTGTCTCTTAGGGACGCGGCCTTTGCCCACGGTCAGGCTGCAGGGAAGGGTGGGTGGTGGACCCAGGCACCACAGCTGTGGGCAGCCCCACGGGGCCTGAGAGCTCGGGGAAGCTGGGCAGAAGCAGGGGAAGGCTGTGGTCTGTGCAACCGTCTGTGCCTGGTACTGAATCTGCTCTCAATGCCCTGTGAATTGATTCGTTAATTCTTATTCATTAATCACCTTTAGGGGAAACTCAGATGAAAATTACCCTGGCATATTTTAAGCATTCCAAATTAGCCTTAAATTGTGCAGATAAAGAGCTTAGCTGAATTATTGGGCATAAAGTCTACCAATTAAACACATGTTATCGAAACAGATACTCTATGCCACAAGCTGTGTTAGGCCTCGATAGAGAGAGAGAGAGAGAGAGAGAGAGAGAGAGAGAGAGAGAGAGAAAGAGAGAAAGAAAGAGAGAAAGAAGAAGAAGAAGAAGAAGAAGAAGAAGAAGAAGAAGAAGAAGAAGAAGAGAGAAAAGGTGCCTTGTTCAGTATACATTAAAAGGCCCAAGGGAATTCAAATAATATATTTTCTGTGATGGCATGAAAGCTTCCTGTCTTTCCATTAAAACAGTCCTGCTTCACTACCAGAAGGAAATAAAGTGAATATATGGGGGGAAAATGAATAAGAAATATGGAGGAAAATAGGAAGAGAGAAAGAAGAAGAGGGAGAGAGAGAAGAAGAAGAAGAAAAAAAAGCCAAGGTATATATACATGCCATCAAGTTCTGAAGCTGTTACCAAAAGTAGAAACCACTTGCTCAGTCATTTAGCTGGTTGAGGCCGTTGCGTCCCCGGTGCTGGAGATCGGCGGTTACAAAGATCCGTCCAGAACTAATACTCTAGCAGAAATAGACACAAAGACATCTTCTACATCGATTGTGACCTGCCGTTTTAACGTTCAAGGTGGACTGGGCCGGCAAAAGATTGAATAAAGGAGTGTCCTGTTGTCCTTCAGAAAACACCAGTTTAATTCCTGAAAGCCTCAGTCCCAGTACCACACCTTCCTACTTCCTCCCACAGGTGTCCATATCAGATCCCAACACATGTCCCTGGAGCTCGTGTTGATCATCATCAGCTTGTAAGCTTATCTCAGTTCCTTAGAGGATGTGTCCCGGAGCTTGACCATGTAAGCAGGAATTCCAATACCTCCCTCTCCAGCTCCCCATGAAGAATTTCTTGGATTTCTAGGTCCTTAGGGATGAAAGAGGATCGGTATCAACATAGTTTCTCCTATGACAACGTTCTTTACGTGCTTAGACCCTCACGGCTAGGAAGGGTCTCCGTACAGATCCAGACGGTCCCTGGTCCCGGTAACGCCCAGCACTCGCTCAGATCCTTGCAGTTGGCGTGGAATATGGAAGTTATGTCTCTTCCAGGGGCTGTTCCCTTCGAGGACAGAAACTAGGGCTGAGTCACCCTATGCTCAGCCTGGACTCCTGGCTCTCTGCCTCTTCAAGTCACATGCAGTGCAAGTGCCTCGCCAGCAACTGGCCGGGGCCAGGCTGCTTGGGACATGTGAGCACCCGACACGTACAGCTCGTCTCCTGGGGCTCTTTGATGCTTGCTGACAGCCAGCGAGACTTTTTTTTATTTTATTATTATTTTAATTGTACTTTCTGCCCTTGGGGAGTCTTTCCTTCCATCAAGTGCAAAGGGCAGATGGCCACCTGGTCAGATGCTCTACCCAGCAAGGCAAGGAGCCAAAGGAGCAGCGGCCGGCCCTGCCAAGGACGGCCTTCTCTCCAGGAGAACGGTGGCGAGGGAGGAGGCCACAGCCCAGGCCGGCCACCGCCACGCAGGAGCTTCTCGAACCCTTGGAAGCAGAGTTCTTTTTCCCAGCCTTAGAGGAGGGCCCGCTTCCCTGCATTGGATGGGTGAGCACCAGTGCCCTGCCTTCCCCCTTCTGTGGGCCCTGGGGGGCCGGGCACTGAGTGGGAGGACGCACTTGAGAACACAATCAAAGGACTTTTCTGGACACATTTCTCAAATGACAGGTTCACGGGACTCTGCAGGGTGACTGTTCCATATTTAGATGGAACCGGAAACCAAAGTGCATTTAGAATATTCCTTATTCACTTTAACACGCTGGGTGGAGTAAATTCCGATGACCACGCGTTTGTTGCTTTTCATTCGGACTTCTTTGTATTGCTCCAGTGGTTTGCGGGTTGGAGCGAGGCCATCGTGATTTCTGTGAGCAGTAGGAGAGCTGCATTGGGGAAAATCTGCAGAAATGCATGAAACCTCAGGACACGGGCTTTGGCAAAAATTCTGTAACTTGAAACGAGTTACGTTACTATTGACCTTTCCCAAAGAAATAATATTTTTCTTTTTAAAAAAAAAAAATTAGCTCATCATTTTCTCCTTTGCAGCTTGGAGCTGAGATGGTAGCTCCTTGCATTATGGAGAGTAAATTCTCTTTTTTTTAAAAAAAAAAATTGGAGGGAACCACAGGGATAAGGTTCCAACTTGTCCAAAAGCTTTGTAAAGGGGCTGAGTGCGAAACACTGCAGGTCCTTAGGCTTGATCTTCTCCATTTGATTAAGAAGATTCTCAAGTCTGCTTTTGCAACCTCCAGGTTGCAGTCAGTGAGTTCGAGGGGTTTCACAATTCTCTGAGACAGGTGACTTTATTTCTTTACTAGAGGCCCAGCGCACAAAATTCATGCACTGGTAGGGACTCTAGTGGCTGCCTGCTGTGGTCAGGGGCCTCCCTCCCTTCCCCCAGCCAGTCCTGCCCCAGACAACTTCCGATCAATTTGCATACTATGCTTTTATTATATAGGATAAGTGCTAAATGACATGTGCTACACAGCCGTTTTAAATGGGGAAGGGAAAGACATCACTGACGAAATAATACCGTTTCACTCGGTAGGAAAAGTGGCTGTCTGTGCCTTCCCTTTACCATAAGGCTAGCAAACAGGGTTGGGCTTTGGCTTCTGGAGCCTGCAACTTCAAGAAAAAACAAACGGACACTGTGGTTTGATTTTTATTTTGCTTTGTTTTGTTTTGTTTTGTTTTGGGTCACTGTACAAAGCCAATGAACTTAAAACACTTTGTAACCATGTATTTACTCTGCCAAGTGCCCATATTCCAATAAAATGTCCTTCCTTGGAGAGGGGTCCAGACGTCACCTTTGTTTGGATCGGGGCTGGTTTCGTCTTTTCGGCAAATGCCATGACATGAGCTGGGAGGAGCAGCCCTTGGAGATGGAAGGTGAGTCCCTGTCTCTGTACGACGGAACTTTTATAATTTTCTGTCATCGGCAAGACATCTGCAGGGAAGGCGCTTCACGTCAGATGTAATTATTGCTGTGAGACTGCATATGCTTATTTCTCTAGGAATTAGATTATGTCTACATACAATGGGCAATTACTCTCCACGGAACTGAACTGCTGCTCAAACACATTTATTTTCCGCGGGTAACCCTGAGGGAAACACATCCATTCTCTCTGTACTTGTGAGCAAAACAATGTCCACTCACCAATGTTGACAGCTGCTCATTCGTCCATGAATCCACTTCTCCCTAAATAGGATGATTGTGTGTCTCTCCCATGCAGGCATTCCAGTGGGTGCTGGACAAACAGAGGTGAACATGGCGGGGGTGACCGCTACACCTCAAATGTGCAGGGTGAACGTGGTGAGGGGGAGCCCCAAAAGGTATTTGCTTCCTTGCCTGGCATGAACCTTGTCTGTAATCTCGGCTTTTATTCTGTCTACACCAACGGCTTCGGACAAGAGAGGGAGGAGCACTGGGGAAATCAAGTCCAGGGAGGGTGGGACTCTCTGTGTGGCATAAACCTCACTCCTCCTCTCCCCCTGCCACACCAAGCATCCGGGGGGCAGGAACCATTCTCAGAGCAGCTCCTCCACAGCTTTGATTGAGGGCCGATAGTCAGATTGGGACCGGAGGTGAGTGGGTTGATTAGAAACTACTTCAGCGTGGTTTTTCTCAGATTATATGTTTATGTGGGATGAGATTGATGGAGGTCTTGAGAGGAGCCAACTAAACCTGTATGTTTGTGTCTATAATTGACGTGTTAATCATTGCCAAAAACTAGAAAACAACCCGTATGTCCTGTACTACATCCATATGATAGATTACTACTCAACAATAAAAAGGAATACATACTGGGTAGCATGGATGAGTCTCAGAATAATTAGGCAGAGTGGAAAAGGCCAGACTCCCTCATCCCTACACCCCCCCCCCCCCAAAAAAAAAGATGCCTACTATACTAGTATGCTTCCTTTTATATGACATTCTGGGAAAGGACAAATTTAGAGATAAAAACAGATCGCCAGTTGCCTGCAGCTGGGGGTCAGTAGTTGGGGGGATTGGTTGTGGAGTGGCATGTAAGGGAATTTTGGGGGGGTGAATTGTTCTAGATCTTGATGATGGTGGTTGCCCTGTGACTATATGCATTTGTTAACATGTCACTGCATCCTGAAAAGGGATGCCCTGTCTTTAGGCCCGCATAGAATTGAGAGAGTACAAAGCCTCAAGGTAAAAGCCGCTAGAAATGGTTGCCACGGTAAAATAAGTTCCCTAAAATAACCAGGGGAGGAGGACTGTTCTGAAGGGACTCACATCTTCATCCCCAGCGTTCCGACGATGATGCCTTGGCATCTGCCAGACCATCTTGCTGGCACCGTCTTCCCACCGTGGAGAGCCAGGCAGCTGGACATGGCAAGTGCTGGCAGACTGCCCAGTGGGGAGTTCGGAACTCCCAGGCTCTGCTTCCAGTCATGTGCTCGTGAGGAAGCCCCCAGGAGGTGTAACATGAAAGACAACTTCATTTATTTAAGGCCATTGCTGCTTGTTTGACATGCCTTAAGAAATTACAAATATGAGAGAGGTCACATTCATTAAAGCACAACGTGACATGTGGGGGAAAACACAACATCTGGTTATTTGAAGTCTAAAAAGCCTAACTTATTGTACATTTTTCTTCTAAACATCATTTGATGGATACACCTTTTATTTATTTATTTATTTTTATTATTATTCTTTGAAAATTAGTGGTTTCCAGATCAAAACCACAGATAGAAACTTTCTCTAGGTGAGAAAAAAATCACCTGAAAATTGCTAGACTCTGTTAAGGGGGTGAGATTAAACACACTGACACAAAGCATTTGATTATATTTTAAATCGTTTTAAAAACATGTATGTTTATTGCTTTCAGAGAAGAAGGGAGAGGGAGAGAGAGAAACATCAATGATCAGAGAGAATCACTGATTGGCTGCCTCCTGCGCGCCTCCTGCTGAGGATTGAGCCTGCAACCCAGGCAGGTGCCCTTGACCAGAATCGAACCTAGAACCCTTCAGTGTGCAGTCCGGCGCTATATCCACTGAG